ACGCTACCAAGTAACTTGTAGAGCTTCCCTTAGCTAGTTGCTGGAAGCTTAAGAGTAATTCGAACGCGCTGGAGAGCTAGTTGGCAAGAAAAATCTCGACGGAACTTTCGCTGATTTTTGGTCGGTTGAACATTTTGTATTCGAAATTCAACATGTCGTTTGAGCTCTAGTTGTTCTTTTCCCATGATATTCGATCTTATTCCCGCTCGCCGTCTTGATCTCAGCTAGATCGGGTACCTTTTACTGCCAGAAAGCACTCCGGCGGGATCGGCTGTTTCGAGTCATCTTGACAGACGTTGTCGGTTTTTTGTACCTAACTCGAGCTGTAGAGGAGCTACAGAGCTGATAATTACAGAAACCCTCTTAGAATCATCAGGCGCGTTCGTCTGTTGCATCCAGAGGTCTGAACTCGGTCTGCTACTCGAGCTAGGTCCGCGAAACTATTCGTATTACTCGAGTCATCTTGACAGGTGCTGTCGGTTTTCCCGTACTTAACTCGAGCTGTAGGACAGCTACAGAGCTGACACTTACAGAAGCCCATTCAAAATCGTCAGGCGCGTTCATCTGTTGCATCTAGAGGTCAGAACTCGGTCTTCTACTCGAGCTAGGTCCGCAAACCGATTCGTATTATTCGAGTCATCTTGAGAGGTGCTGTCGGTGTTCTGTTCTTAACTCGAGCTCTAGGCCAGCTACAGAGCTGATGCTTACAGAAACCCATTGGAAATCATCAGGCAAATTCATCTGTTGCATCCAGAGGTCTGAACCCAGTCCGCTAGTCGAGCTAGGTCCGCGAACCTATTCGTATTATTCGAGTCATCTTGACAGATGCTGTCGGTTTTCTGTACTTAACTCGAAATGTAGGATAGCTACAGAGCTGGTGCGCACATCAATCGATTCAGCATCATCAGGCGCGTGCGTCTGTTGCATCTAGAGCTCTGGGCAATAGTGAGTCTAAAAAACTAGTCGTTCTCTGCCAATTTTTTGGACATAATATATGGCAAGGACGCTCTACGAGTCTCCCGGCGGTAAGAAAGGTTGACGGTTTACCGCCGGCGCCTAGTAATTCCGGCGCGCTGGAGAGCTAGTACCTCGTAGAGCTCTTCGGCAAGATGGGCTAAGAGGAATTCGGGCGCAGCGTGGAGCTAGTTGGCCGACCCGACCTTAAGAGACAATGTGGCGACTTGGGGTCTGCTTTTCTATCTTTGTCCAAATTTTGAAAGTTCGTTTTAAGAGCTGGTATTTTTCCCACTTGTAGCGGGTTATGCCGCGCCTGCCAGTTAAATTCTCAGGTCTGTAGCTGCAATATTATTATTAAAGGACTTGAGGGAACCGTCGGCCGTGTCGAGTCATCTTAACACGCGTTGACGGTTTTCTGTACTTAACTCGAGATTTAGGACAGCTACAGAGCTGATGCCTACACAAACTGATTCAGAATTATCAGGCGCGTTCATCTGTTCCATCGAGAGGTCTGGACTTGGTCTGCTACTCGAGCTAGATTCGCGAAATTATTCGTATTATACAAGTAATTTTGACGAGTGCTGTCCGTTTCCCTTAACTGAAGATTTAGAAGAGCTGTTGAGCTGGTACGCATATAAAAAGATCCCCCCGGCGCGTTCTTTTCTCGCATCGAGAGGTACGAACTCGGTCTGGCACTCGAGCTAGGTCCACGAAGCGGATGTAAAATGAAAACATCATATTTTCCGACCTTTTTTCTTCACGCTTCAGAAAGCTTTCTTCGTGTGCTCCGAGCAGCGCCGCGCGAGAACAGAGCTCTACGAGGCTCCCGGCGGTTACCTGGTTGACGGTTTACCGCCGGATCCCAGTACCTCGTAGAGCTCTTCGGCATCGATGAGCTGGAGGAACTCCGGCGCGGGGTGCAGCTAGTTGATCCACCCGGCCCGGGCGGACAACGTGTGAACTTTGGGTCGTTTGGGCGAACTTTCTGAGAGATTTCAACATTCGTTTCGAGAACCGGTATTTTTCGCACCAGTAGTGGGTTATGCCGCATCCGCCAGTGAAATTCTCAGGTCCCTTGCTGCAGTAGTACTATCGAAACACTTGAAGGAACCGTCTTTAGATAGAAACTGAAGAAACGTATTTTTTTCGAGTTTTCAGCTCACGTGTGAGGAAGATCCCCCCGCGTGTTACGAGCGGTGCCGTGCGAGGAAAGAGCTCTACGAGGCTCCTGGCGGTAACCTGGTTCCGCTTCGTTGTAAGTTTCAGCGTTATGATAGCAGGGTCAGAAGTTGCTTTCTGTACGGTTTGGAGGGTACGACTTTGGATTCGGGTAGTCTCCAACAGATACATGCAGCTGAAGGCAACTTCTTGTCCACCATGAGACGTCTCAAAAAGAAGATCACGGAGTCCTGGGGAGAGTACTGGGGCAGGAGGATTAAAGGTGGTCGTCGCTTATTGAAGTGGGCCCGTAAGCCTTCGATGGTCCAGCTCGCCCTTCATCGCCAGTGGCTCTTCGCCAAACATGTTGTGAGCACGATCCATGAGGAACATAGTCGGGTGGATGAGGACGCACTCAGTCAGGGCATTCTTTATCATGAGCCACGACATCCTGATATTTTTGGTGGTTCGCAGCGCTCCTTGGAGTTATCGGTTCCCTCGCCTACCCCGAATGCCAGACAGCGTAACAGTTCGTGTAGGAGAAAGGCACAGAGCGCGTCTTCCTTGGAGAATAGGTCAGTTCGCAGACGTGTATCGGAGGACACGGCACATGAGCATCATGATTCACAACATGTACATGAGCCTGTTCGTAAGCGGGTACGCCATACCTATGCACGGGAGGAGGAAGGAGGATTGCCCACTGCCAGTATGCAGAGCGCCTTGACGATGATGCACGCGTCGGGGGAGTGGACTGAGCAGCGTGACGTGCATGTTAGAGCTCTCCCTGGGGGCCGACGGTTTACTAGAGCTTGTCGTCATCGAGTCTTGACGGGACTTAGGCCTTGGTTCGAGGTCTTCGAGCACACGCGCGGGGTTCATTGGGATCGCACGATGGTCTGGAATGAAACTGGCTGGCGTTCCTTCCTGGTGGGTACCCTGGCCGCCCTGGACTTGGAGGATCTTCTCGAGTTCTGCCTTCTTCGGGATCCTTTCACGGGTGAGTTCAAGCAGGAGGAGGAGGGGGAGGAGAAGCCAGAGGAGCAGCAACGACGGGAAAATGAACGGGTGGCGAAACGACTGGCCGCGATAAATGATGATGAAACCACTTGGCGTGGGGAAGGGGGTGGATATGGCTTGGAGCTCCGTGGGGATCGCCAGTGTGTTGTGCGCTGGCTTAATGGACGATATCGCTGTCACAATGAAGTATATCGCCGCACGATCAAGGGTATGCAGAACCGCCTTCACAGAATGAGTGAGGACCATCATCTTGTCACGGCAGAAGTGGGAAGGGATATGTGGAAATGGGTGTATAGGGAGGGCAACGATGAGGCGGACCATGAGACACATCTTGCACGTGAGGGTAAAGTAACTTCTGATGTTCGTTGGAATCATAACACTCTTTATCATATTAGATCGGGTCATTATATTGTTCGTGCACTTAGAGGAGCTTTCGATGGTGGGCGGTGTGAACGTGGCACTTCGTGTGGCTGGGTTATGGATGCTTATCTTGTTCCCTCTCTTCCTCCTCACCAGCTTCCCCCTGGACTTGTGCAGGGCGGATGGCACCCTGGGGTTGGCCGCAGAGGTTTCATGGTCCCTAGCCACTGCACGATCACACAGGCTGAGTTGGCAGCTGCACATTCGCTTCTCAATGGCATTGCCGAGATGTGTATACACGTACAGCTTGGTCGGTGGTTGTTTGTGTACTATATCTGCACAGCTCCGCTGTTGTAAGATACATGCTTAGCCCCGCTGCTTCTTCGATGTGTGTATATTCCTGCGCAGCTACGCTGTTGTATCATATCTGCACAGCTACGCTGACTTGTATATTCGCACAGCTCCGCTGTTAGTGCTTAGGTTGCCTGTAGGTAATCCTACCGCTGGCCCTGCCCCCTAAGGGGGCTCGAATCGGGCCCCGCAGACCGCAGAACCTGGTTGACGGTTTACCGCCGGCTTCCAGTTCCGGGGCGCTGGATAGCTAGTAACTCGTAGAGCTTCCCTTAGCTAGTTGCTAGAAGCTTAAGAGTAATACCTCGTAGAGCTCTTGGCATCGAAGAGCTAGAGGAATTCCGGCGCGGGATGGAGCTAGCTGGCTCACCGGGCCCGGGCAGACAATGTGACAACCTGGCGTCGGTTTTTCGAAGATTATGAGAGATTTGAAAATTCGTGTTGAGAACCATTATTTTTGTAACGTGAATTGGCTTGTGCCGCGTTCGCCTGTTAAATTCAGGTCCGTAGCTGTAATATTGCTGTCAAAAAACGTGGAGAAACCGTTGGCCGTCGATTTTTTTCCCCCAAATTGATAATGGTCTCGTGCATTTGACAACAGCTTCAAGCAAGATACACTATACTTCGTAGAGCTCTTCGTTATCGATGAACTAGAGGAATTCTGGCGTGGGGTGGAGCTAGTTGGTCGATCCGACCAGAAGAGAGAAAGTGATAGCTTTTGGTTTGTTTTGCAAGTATTTCAAAGATATTTCAGCATTCGTTAAGAAAGAATTTCACACCGAGCATTGGCACATACATTTTGTTTCCAGAACAGCTCAGCTCTTTAGATCAATTTTCACGATCGAAAAGTTAGGAGCAACCGATATCAAGTTCACAACGAAAAATGTGAATTCGATGTTTTCTTAGGAATACTCGGATAAGCTGTCTGCTGTGAATCTAAGCACTTATACGCGTGCAAGGAGCTCTACGAGGTTCCCGGCGGTGACCAGGAACCACATGCGGCAGTCTGGGGAAAAGATAGGTCTCTGCTGATCGCCAGTTTGGACGTGAAACAAGCTTTCCAGAATATGACGGTTCAGGAGATCACACTTGCGTTCGAAAGACTCGGTATTCCTCCGTATCTCCAGCTGGCTCTACTGGAACCCCTGGCGGACGAGGTCTCCACGGTGCTCTTCGAGGGTCTCGGGGTCCCCGAGGTCAAAGTAGACAAGCACGTTAGGACGGGAGGTAACGAGAGCCCAGCATGTTGGAACGCTGTAGTGGCAGCCATGTGGGCTGATATTGTTCAGGACTGGGACAAGGGAGGCCTAGGCTATGAGTGTATCAACCCCAACCAGACAACTGAGACCGCCTTGGTAAACCATCTCATCTTTGCTGATAATGTGTACATCATTGGCTCAGGCCTGAATCCCAAGGCTTTTCAACAACAGTTGAATGACTTCACTCTTGCCTTGCATCAATGGAAGTTTGATTGGAAGTTGGATAGCCTGCAGTTTGCTGCTATAGGTTGCTCCCCTGGGAAATTCTTTACTAGTATCCATCGCTCTAATATGCCTGGGGATATCGGCCTCGATGGGGCTGATGAGTACGTCAGTGTCGAGCTGCAGCAGGTTTCCGTCCTCAACGTACTGGGGAATGACATCGCGGATTCTTTTCGCGAGCCGCAGTTGATGTTGACCGCCGTCTCAACGCTGCTCGCAAGGCATTCTGTGGCCATATCCAATACTTTCGATCCCGTGCGGTGCATTGGCATCTGAAGTTCAAACGTTATCAGTCCATCGTGCAGTCTACCCTGCTCTTCGGCTCGGAAGGGCTGACGTGGGAAAAGGACTCGATTCACAAAATCCACGTCTGTGAGGGCACATGTTTGTTGAGGATGTGTCATAAATCGAAACCCGCCAGTGTATCCTGGGACATGTGGCGCCCTGCTCGTTTGCATGTTGTTCGAAAGCTATTTCACGATCATGGGTTTCAGAGTTCGGTTCAACGTGTATTGCATCGTTCATGGTTGCTGGCAAAAGATGTTGCCGAGTACCATGCGACTAGCTGGGATGTTGCTTATGCGAATCGGGAAGATTGCAAACGTCGTCGGCTGGCTCTCCCCATTGCTCCTCCCGATGGTGCCCGTGCCTGGAGGGGCGCCAGAAGGATGCTGCTGTGTTCGTGTCCATCGTGGGAGGGTGCTCGTTCCGACTTCAGTGAGGTCCTCAGACAGAAGGGATCGTGGAAGGAGGCTAGTGCTCTGAAACGTATTCGCGTCGGAGCTGGTGCATCAGGAGAAAGACCTTGGAGTTACATGGCATATATCCTATTTGGGGCCTCTTGGTGGAAGGACGGTGAGTTTTCCTGGAAAACGTTCCTCGACAAGATGCCTGATTACCTGAAACACTGTGGCCATGAGAAAGCGTTTGAGTATTTCGTGTATTCTGGAAAGGGGGCCGACTCCGTGGTGGAAAAGATGTATTGGGATGAGTTGATGTCTCAGGAGGTGTCTGGAGCGGAGGCGGACAAGTTAGCAAAACGGTTAGCCATCCTACAGGAAAGGGCGACGGTCTGGGATGTTGTGTCGGATGGGCTCCCTGTGGAGCTCTGCGGAGATAGTCTTCTTATTATTAATTGGGTCCGTGGGAAGTGGAGGGTGGGAAATAACGTGTATCAAAAGAGAGTAGATAAGCTGGTGGATAAGATTGCGTGGCTGGAAATCGATACCATCTCAGATCCAGTTTCCTTGGTCGTGACTTCCTCAAACATGAATTCAGAGAGAACAACCAGAGGGCGGATGCCCTCACACATTGTGCGCGGGAAGGCCGCGAGTGTTACACTATGAGGCCTCTTCCACCCGATCTTTTAGAGTATCATGGGCTTGTTGCCCTCCGCGGTCGTTTCGACGGCGGAGTGGATGCGTCTGGTTGTGGTATTGGTTTCTTTCTCGAGGCCGCCTTTCTCCCCCATCCTGAACATTGCTCCAAGCGCCTGCGGCATTCCGCTGCCCCCGACTCGCCTCAGCCTGCTGCCTCCTGTGACGGTCTCGTTTGGAGAGATGTTGCGGAGGCGGCCCTTCTCTTGCCCAGAGATAGTACAGTCACTGATGCCGAACTGACGGCGCTGGAGCGCCTCATTGGGGCGGCCGAGTGCGTGCTGAGAGCTCACGGAGAGCTCGAGGCGCCCTGCTGGGCGTTTGGCTCGGGCAGGCTTCGACGGAGCCTTCGCTGCCCGCAAAACCGCAAAAAAAACAGGAACCATTACCGTAGCCATTTTGGCTCAAGGTTGCCTGGCTCAAGCTGGAGAAGCTAGGGCCGCGGGCGGCCGTGGGCGCGCGCGCGCTCGCCATATCTTCGTGTGCTTCGTGAGCTGCAACCCCTTCCCCCTCAGGGACCACCTGCAGGAGATAGGTGAGCTCTTGTCTGCTTGTGGGATTGGTGGCTATCCTGGTCTTAGGCGCAAGGCCGCTCTGGATCGTTCGCTTTGTGGGTGCTATCATATACTTGTTTGCAGCTGCTCTCTCGGGCCGCCTGCTCTGCTTGTATTGCTGCGCTTTGTTTTGAACGCGATAGTTGCCAGCACGTTTCCAGTTTTTCTCTTGTTGCAGCGGGAGTTCATTCGTTTTCGCAACGCAGTGGGGGCCACCAAGTTGTGGCTGGAGTCAGTTTCTTCGTGAGTTGGACAGATCCTACTACGAAGAGCAGTTTCGTGAACAGTTTCGTCCTCGCCGTTCTTACTCAGAGATGGATTCCGATCTCGGAGACTCAGATTTCGATGAAGAGAACGAATCGAAGAGACAGCGTAAGGAGCTGGGTCTCGAAGGTGATGAGGCAATGGAGGAAGAAGCTGCTGTTGATGCTGCGGGGGCTGGGAGTGGTGGGGGAGGCAGTGCAGGCAGTGGAGGAGGTGCCGCAGCTGGAGGAGACATAGCAGAGATTCTACGCAGTCAGTTCAAAGTGATGAAGGCAGATATGCAACGCATGCTGAAGCAAAATACGAAGGACATGCGACAGGAGATCACTACCCAGGTCCAGGAGCAGGTGGCCCCCATTTCTTCGTCAGTGAAGGACATTCGTGAGGCCCAAGAGGCCCAGGCTAAGCAGATCCAGGAGCTCCAGGCGAAAGTGAATAGCAATCGGGACCCCTGGGCCGACTCTGCTTCTTCTTTGGGTGGTGCTTCAACTCGTGAATCGGTATCGCGTGCTTTTCGCAAGCCCTTTGAGCCTCGCGTTCCAACCTGGATTCAGGTCTCGGGCATTTGCAAAGAAGATCCTCGGAAGATTGAGAATCGTGACCAGGCCAAGCTTCCAGTGACCACAGCACGCAACATGATTGCCAAGTTGTACGGTATTTCCCAGGCTCGGGATGACGGTGATGGAAGTATCTTTGATAAGGAGCGTACTGAGCGCGACTTAGCATCTAATAAGTTTGGGGTCACTCGTTTCCGAGTTTACTTCAAGAGTGGCACCTCAAAAGATGTCGTCTGGGAGGTCAGGAAGGAATGGAGTGCCGCTTGGCTTGATCAGAATGCCGATCTTCTTTGCCCGAACGCTTTTGGAAACTACCGTGACCAGTACTTGGGATGGCTTGTGCAACCGGCGCCTCAGGATCGCAAGTGGGTTTCTGAGACACGTAAGGCGACGGCGCAATTCCACAAACGGAAGACAGTGCAGACGGCCCAGGTGCTGTTCGAGGCTGAGGGTCCAGCGAAAGCGTGGATGTATGCCAAATCGACCTCTGCTTCGGCGAATGTTTGTATCGGTACGTGGACGGACACGATTGGATGGAAGATCTCAGCTGATAAAATGAAGGAAGTTGATACTGGGATTGACGTATCAGCTTGGGAAGGTGCGCTTAACAGTACTCTGTGACGGTGCCCAGCCTTGTGCGGAGGTTGGAATACACGGAGGTTGGGGACACACACCTCCGAGTGCATGCGCCATCTTGCTGATCTCGATCTCTCTCTTGTCGCTCTTCAGGAATGCCAGCATTTGAATGATGTTGAAGTTGAGGACGTGGGATGGGACTTCCGTTGCTCTGAGTGCAGACGGGCTGCAATCTTGTTTCGGGGATCTTGGAAGCACCTCATCTTAGACTGCATCTCTGGCGATCGTTGGGTTGCGATTGTATTCCGCCATCTTATATTCGTCTCAGCTTACCTTCCACATCGTGAAACGTGCAAGGGGACAAATGGTGAGCCTAGGGGATCTTCAGAAGGCCACTATGAGAGTTTCGCCTTGTACACCAGCGTGCTGTCAGATCTGGCGTCTAAAGTTCTTGCTGCTAAAAGAAGTGCTCCATTCGCGATCTTGTTTTGCAAGTCGATGCCAATGTTGAGGTCTATCCCAATCAGACTGTTGCTAGGATACTCGTGACGGGGGAGGCGGTAGAGGGACCTAAAGCTAAGTCTAGGGAGCGTAAGGCCAAGCAGGGGAGTGCGGACGCCATGCGTGACCAGACGAGGAGATGTATTGCCAGGCTCTCTTGAAAACCATGGGTGCCCTGAAGCTCCGTCTTGCGAACACCTACGGTACGCGCGCACCTACTTGGACACATTGCACACGTGAGTATGAGCATGTATATGACTACTTCGCTATCCCGATAGATTGGCAGGTTCCAGAGGTCTCTTGCACATGGGTATTGCCGCCTACTCTTGAACGTACGCGTGCGCGTGAGATGTGATCATAAGTTGCTGCAGCTCCGACTCCCAGAACATCAGGCTAAGTCGCGTCCTCGTTCTCGTCCCTCACTTGCTCGGTGGAAGTTGCAGGCAGGTTCGGAGGTGCACCAAATGGCTTGCTTGGAGCGCTCCGTGTGCCAGTACAACCGCTTCGCGGCGCTCTCCGATGATCTTGAGGCTAACCCCATAGAGCTCATAGGTCAGGCCATCACTGAGGGCGCCCTCGAGACTCTGGATCTCTCCCGCCATGCAGGTGATCAATCTTCTGGGTTCCCGAGGCTTTCTGAGGACCAGCTGAGGATTAAGGAGGAGCACTACAAGATTAGGAAGCAGTACAAGCGGGAGGAGGTGGAGGAGCGGGTGTACAAAAATAGCTTGAAGAGGTGGAGGAGGGTCCGTCGGGATATCGAGCGTGCCCGGTTGATGTATCGTCAGAGGGAGGGGGTTCGACGTAAGCCGAAAGCCACGCAGATGATGGTTGAGGGGGAATTGACACATAATGTCAGTAGGTGGGAGGAGGCTCTTAGGCAACATGGTCTACTTCGGTATTCGAGCGAAGCCCATCGACATGATGCCAATTCTTGTCTTGAGGAGCTCCGAGATAAATGCAAGCAAATGTCGCAACATGCTGGTCGCGCTTGTCCGATCGATATGGGTCTTCTTCTGCGAGCTCGCGCACGTTTGCGGGCGGGGAAGGCTACAGGTCTTGATTGCATCTCAGCTTCTGTGCTCAAGGCCTTACCGTGGGAAGCTCTTCGCCACGTTCTTGTCTGCTTTCAGAGATTATATGGGAGGCAGATTGTTTTACCGCTTTCATGGGGACGCATCCTTGTCAGTTTTATGTTGAAAGGACCGAAGGCGCGTAGCTTTGATGAGACTCGTGCTCTGGCTATGCTGTCGGTTTTTGGGAAATGGTTCAGTTGTTGTCTCGCCATCTTGCTCGAAGCTCACATCAAGACGGTTGCGCCGAGGGGTTGTCAACTGTATGGTTTTGTTGTGGGTCATAAGTGTTATGAGGTTACCGCACCTTTGAAGCATCTTGCTCGTCACGCTGTCTTATGGAAGGAGGAGGATTGTCACATCGTCAATTGTGAT